GATTTTGGGGGTAGTTATGTAATGTGGGTTTTCATCAGTTATTGAAGTTCTATCCTCGTAGCACACAAATTTGCCTTATTTTTTTTTCTCTATTTTCTTTTATTTGTTAATTTTGATTTATTAGTTTTTTGTTTTTTTGTGATTAATTGCTGATCAAGTAATTCATTGGGTAGTTTTTTTGATTAAAAAAATGAATTTAGCTCTAAGATAGTAATGAAGTTTAAGTTCATAAATTCGGGTTTAAAAATACAATTATACAAAAGTACAAGGGCATCGCAGCAAAAAAAAATAATACCCCTCCAATAATTTTCTCTTTCCTTCTGACCCCCGCCCTCCTTTTCTTCCTCCTCTTCATGAAACTCTACCTTCATCGCCCCCAATCGCGGCTGAGGTACAAAACCCTCTCAATATAACCCTAATTTCACAGCCGAAAATTTCCTCAGACGCCTTCCCGATATTATCGCGAGCGAAAATGTCGAGGAGAACAATTCCGATCCTCAAGCAGGTCCTATCCGGCGGCCGATCCGCCACCGCTACTCGATCCGTGACGTACATGCCCCGACCCGGCGACGGAAACCCCCGACCCGTTACAATGATTCCCGGAGACGGCGTGGGACCGCTCGTAACCGGCGCGGTGGAGCAGGTGATGGAGGCGATGCACGCGCCGGTGTACTTCGAGAAATACGACGTCCACGGTGATATGAAGAGCGTGCCGCCGGAGGTGATCGAATCGATTAAGAAGAACAAGGTTTGTCTCAAGGGAGGTCTGAAAACGCCTGTTGGTGGTGGGGTGAGCTCGCTGAATGTGTTGTTGAGGAGGGAGCTTGATCTTTACGCGTCCCTCGTGCACTGTTTCAATCTGCAGGGGCTTCCCACTCGGCACGATAACGTGGATATTGTCGTGATTCGGGAGAACACAGAGGGAGAATATTCGGGACTCGAGCATGAGGTTGTTCCTGGAGTCGTTGAAAGCCTGAAGGTATTTTTGGATTTCTTTTGATTATCATATCTAGCTATGTTATATTGTAGAATTTGAATCGCTGTTGTCTTTTCACATCTTGCAATGCAAGTTGTTATCTGAGGGTGTTTTATGTTAGTTTTCCGGTGAGCCTTCTCATAGTTGATAAGTGCAAAGGGCATGTTAGATAAGGATATTAGATAAGGATTGACGACCCGGAAATGTGTGTTGTAGTTTTCTAGATCATCTACCTCATGAAAAGTGAAACATGGATGACAATGGGAAAGATCTATGAAATAGCCTTTTAAGTTGATTGTGTTGATTGTGTAATCTTGCGTGATTGGAGATGGGAAGGGATTAAACCTTATGTAGTTTATGAACTTTTGAGGCAATCAATGTGCATGATAGAATTTGTTCCTTAGATCTGCCGCTGGTCATGCAAATAGTGAATGAATCCATGGAAGGCTTTATGCATTTCACATTTAATCTCATGCTTCTGTCCTACCTACAGTCTTGCTATCCTATATTAGAATAATCATGATGCATTTTTGCAGTTTTCTTCGTTTGTTATTGTAGATTTTTCATGCTATTGAAGTCTAATTCTCTTTTGTTAACCAACAGATACTATTGTGTTTATTTCTCTGCTGATTCAGATTTCCTTCCATATATGCACACTTCTATTATTCTAGAATTTTCTGCAATTCTGTTCCTAATATGGCCCAACTGATAGGTCATAACAAAGTTCTGTTCTGAACGAATTGCAAAGTATGCCTTCGAGTATGCCTATCTCAACAACCGGAAAAAAGTCACTGCTGTGCATAAAGCAAATATTATGAAGCTTGCAGATGGCTTATTTTTGGAGTCCTGTCGTGAAGTTGCCAGCAAGTACCCTAGTATCCAGTACAATGAGATTATTGTGGATAACTGTTCCATGCAGCTTGTTTCTAAACCAGAGCAATTCGATGTTATGGTAAGTAGATAAATTGCTCAGGAATTTTAGGTCATGTGGTTGACTTTCCTTCCTAGTTGCATGATGACATCATACTCTGTTGTTCCCTTCTTCATCTGATTTATTTTAGTGATGTGAAGTAGAAATTTCAAGCCGCTTTTTATCTCACAAAATTAGGAAAGTTTGGATCCTTTATGGCTGAAATTCTTATGTTGTTAAATTTGAAATGGCATGTCTGAAGAGACAAATTTCAGTGAGATGTGACTAGTGCGAGGCTGTATATTGCAATAATTCGCTAGTTTTATCTATATTTATAATTATTTCGATTAGGCAATCAATAGTTCCTTTGTTCATTCAAGGGCCATTTCCTAAGTTCTTGTAAATAGATACAGGAGCACAAACAGTACAAGCTTACGAAATTTTCATAGTTCATTTGTTTTTCTGATCCAACCAGCTTTATCATTGGATTCATTGTTTATATCTGAAGTAACTGGGATACATGTAATTTCATAACAAGGTTGAAGTGAATTTACTAGGTGGGCCTGGAAACCAGTCCACTTTTAACCTTTAGTTTCTCTGTTGAACCTGTATGGTTGAATTCTTTTGTCTGGCCAAACCCTGCAAACGCGGACTTATCAAAGTATTAGAGCTCTCAGTTTGATGATTTGTTTGCTTTCTGAATAATGTACCTCTTATCATTCTCTTTCATTTGTCGTTACTTAAAAAAGAAGTTGACCAGAAAATCATTATCTTTTACCTTGGTTTCTTTGTTGAATCAGAGTGGCTAAATCTCTGGGTTAAATCATGTCATCTTTCTCGTCTTTTGTTGGTTCTCTTTTCCATGGTCCAAATAGGCGCTGTTCATAACTCATATCTTTGTACTGCTTTTTTTTGCATACAGCTTATCAATGAAAATTTATTGTTGCAGGTGACTCCCAATCTTTATGGGAATCTAGTTGCAAATACAGCTGCTGGTATTGCTGGGGGTACTGGAGTCATGCCCGGTGGTATGTATGATGAATAGTTTCAACAACTTTTATCCCATTAGAAATTCAAAGAATGAACCCGGCCTAATCTTTAGTGAAGATGCCATTTACATATAGTAAGATGTCGGTTTACAATTGGTGCTCTAGAAGACTGGAAAGAAACTAATTCTAGATTATATGTTGCTCAATTTTTGGATTAGCTGTTAATCGGGTATTTGACCAATAGATCCCCTTAAATTCATTTATATGTAAATTAGACAGGGATGATATTCCTTCGAGACTTTTGTAAATAATATGCCTTTGTTTTGATGGTTCAGGAAATGTTGGGGCGGATCATGCCATTTTTGAGCAAGGTGCTTCTGCTGGTAACGTAGGCAATGAGACATTGCTGGAGCAAAAGAAGGCAAATCCAGTAGCTCTTCTCCTTTCTTCGGCTATGATGCTAAGACACTTACAATTTCCTTCATTTGCTGATCGACTAGAAACTGCTGTGAAGCGCGTTATAGCTGAAGGTAAATACCGAACAAAGGATCTCGGTGGAGACAGTACCACCCAAGAAGTTGTGGATGCCGTTATAGCTAATCTCGGCTGAGTTTTATGCTTTACCTGCTGGACTATTTCATTTAGCGGCTGCAAGTGTTCAAATGTCACTCTTGTAATGATATTTTTTTTTATTTTCTTTTCAAGTTTGCTTTGCAATTTACATATCCAATTTTTGTGCCTGTCCCCTGGGTGATATTCAGAGTAAAAAATAATGATTTCGAGTCCTATTATGACATGGAACAATAAGAACTAAGCTTCTCAGAATATGCTATTTAATTTCCAATTTATGGAGTTCGATATTGATTCATTGAGGTTTTGTACAGTTTCTGAATAGCTGGCCACTGTTTATTGCATTGATGTGAATGATATTTTGTTGACTACTTTCAGCATCATGCAAATAACCTATTATTTGCATTCATCCTCTTAGCATCATTTGGTAACTCATGGATTGGGGTAATGGAGTGATTCGATTGCTACTGTATATTCCAGAGCAAGTTTGCTGAAAGGATTTAAAATGTCAGGCAACACAAGACTGGCAATAGGGTCTCATTTTGTTTCCCTGAGTGTATGTTTTTTCGACTAAAACTTATTATTACAAAGATACAATGAATCGTGTCGACTAATAAAAGGTTTAAACATCAATCGTCAGATACAAGATACAAAAAACAGAGTACCAAAATATTAAAAAGGGAAAACAGGAAATCCATGGGAGGCCCCCTTGCAAAGTGAGGAGCATAACCATCAATCTCGAGCCTTCATAGAGCAATTTCCTCTTCAACTGAGGCACTGAATTCTGATCACCATCCTGAGCAATTGTAGAGAATTTCAGAATCCAAATTGACAAACTGAATTGCTAGCCCTAAAACAGCTAAACGATCTTGCTTATCTAAAAACCCATAGAATATAGCCAAATCTATCTCTTGTTAAGCTCGAGCAGATTTATATTTCTTTTTTAGTTGATTGTAAGCTATTCTGTAATTTTCCCGACATTTGATCTTCTTCCTTAGCTTTCACCTCAAACCCTAATTCCGTATTCTCCGACTCAATTTCAATTTCTCTTTCTGCCTTCAAGTTCCCCTCGTCTTCTGTCAAGATCTCGCCTTTTTCTTCAAAGCTCGATCCGTTTTCGGCTAAAGGTGCGATCTTTAGGTCGTCCGCCTCTCGGTGCATGACATCTTCCAGGCGGCGGAGGACTGACTCTGCAAAGCATTGTTGCCTGCACATAGATATATAGCAGAGAGAAATTTGAGAGATTTCGTATTCAGTTGTACAATTATTGTAATAAGATGACTTTTCAACTAAAAATATGAAAAAATGTAGTGATCTTATTATCAACTAGAAGTCTAAGAAGGCAATGGCAGCCCATAATAAGTTGAGTGAATCAAACTGGTTCAAGGACCACAAAATTGAGAAACTACATGATCTCGTTGAAGAAGTAACAAATCTTCATGCAAACGAACAGCAATCATAAGGAAAAACACGATATATCACTTGGGTAAAAAAAGCTTACTTGCGCTCACGATGCTTTGGACTTGGACGAGAGTACTTCAAATATCCATCCCATGGTACCTTTTTAAGACCCGCTCGTACAGAAATAATGTCCCTCACCCTGTAAGAAAATGTCTCATACAAATGAATGTTTGGTTAGTGTAAATTGGTTTAGAAACGCTATAAAGTAATGAATTGAAGCAATGATATGCGCACCTCTCAGCAAATTCAATCGGTGTTTCACCAGGTTTAAGGTTCTGAGGCTCCAGGTACCACACGTCACAAACAACGGCCCATGATGTCATAAGCTGCAACAAGTGTGTTGTAAAGGATTGCCTGCAAACCAAGGTTTACGAATGCCTTTAATAGGTTTTTGAAGGATGAACAAAAATTTAACAGCATTTCCCACATAGAGCTATCAGGCCACATGAAACCCCACCTCATAACACATCAGAGTAGCCAAATAGATATAATTAGTAATACAACTGCAAGTTAATTGGTATAAGGAACAGCAACATGACATAACATACTTTCGGCTGTTCCAAAAGGCATCGACAAAGATCTTGTTATACTTGATTGCGATTGGACACACCGTGCAGCCAAGTTCAAATGCACCCTAAGTACCGTAAGAAGATGAAAATTATAACATAGTTAGGCATTGACATAGCGATTGCAACTTGGGGGCACAGACAGCACGGGGAAAAAAGAAAAAAATA